ATAATTGTTAGGTGCAGCCCTAATGAATTAATGAATATGTTCTCAAAAATGGAAATAGAACAACCCAACAATGCCCAATGCCACGTTTTACAGATACCAAAGAGACCATCGTGTGACTCAGTAGCTGATTGGGATACTGCAAAATGACAATGATTACTGTCTGACATGTGAGTGAACAGTGGGCTGATTTGTTTACTCTGTCACAATGCCCGTTATAATGGACACTCAATAACGATGAGATTTGGGATGTTTTTGAGGGCATTAAACATGATGGTGGATACATTTACACATTTCCAATTTGCACACTCACAGACAGTAAATGCAGTAAACAACATTGCAAACTATTGCTTAACATGTAGCACTTGCTAATTTGTCATGTTTCAACGCAATAAGTATTTAATTTGTTTTTCATTTGGTGTTCAAATCCATACTTCGGTTTTGCTGGTGCATTGTTGCATATCTCGCTGTGTTACTTGTTGATCTTAAGAATAGCGAGACACTGTTGGTAGGACTTTGTGCCATGTCATATGTGTGTGCATGTGTGTCCGTTTGCACATGCATGAGATGAACCAAACCCACATAGATAGATTGAAAATCACCTCCATAGCGATACAAAAGGCTTCAAGGAACCTTTAAGATTTACTGAGAGGTTTGTTATGTGCAGATTTTTGCAAATGCATGCTTATTTAAAAGTCTATAAGTCTACTCATAAACTATTGCTTTGCTCGTTGCTTGCTCCATAATAGGATTCAGGGGTGGGGTTCCCTTCTGCTCCGTGCTGGTTACTAAGAGAACAAGACAAAACAAACCCCAGCTTTATTTTTATTTTTTAGTTGAATGAGTTATCGTCCCATCCCTGCTAAGGGTGAGCCCTACTCCGGGTGAATGAAAGCCAAAATAGTGTCCTCACAAGTAGAGCAAAACAGCAGGTGTAATTGTGTGTGTATGAAAGTGTGTGTGTGTGTGTGTGTGTGTGTTCTCTGTTAGACTCACAGTTCATAAAGCCAAACACACACACACACACACACACAGCGAGGTTTCTCCTAGCAACAGAGGATTATAACTTCACACTGGGTCTGACGCTATTGACCTGTGACACACACACACACACACACACACACACACACACACACACACTCTCGCTCTCTGCTTTTGTTATTAAAGCTCTGCTGGCCGAGGATCAGCTGTTTGTTCGCATCTGGTGAATCATTGTCGGGTTTGGGTACATTCGCACACTCACACGTCTTCACTTCAAGGCGAACCTGAGAGCAGCACTTACCCTTCACCCCCTGTGTGCTCAACTTGCATTGTTATCACTCTGTGCGTGTCTGTCAGAATGTGACACTTCTTGGTATTTTTACCTTTTAGGTGTTTACTGACGTGTACAGACAGAAGCAGCAGCGTGATCATTATCAACCTTTCCCAACAGCCAATCGTAAACAAACAGGCTCTCCATTCTGCCTCTTAACGCAGTATTTTGAGCTGTGAAGATCTGTTGATTTTTGAGAATCAATTTCCTGCTTTCGTCCCTTTTCAAGCAAAGTCCCCATTGAAGAGACGCTGCTTTGTCTTTTGTCATATTTGTGAATATTTTTAGTTTGGGGATTTTTGGTTGAAATAAACAAGCAATTTATATGCATCACCTTGGACTTCGGGAAAATGATACAAGTGGTGATCAACATGTTCCGAGACTGTGCCGATAAAAATTAAAACCCATACAATCGGCGTTTTGCCTCCCTCCCTGTCGACGTAGTCTTCTACAGCATAGCCTTGTGCTACTCCCAGCTCTTCTGCAACACTGGTATTGCTCGCCATTATATAAACATATCAAAACCCATCTCCTAAACTGTGACCCTTCAACTGGAATTTTATTTTTGAGAAGAACAGGAAGTCACAGAGAGCCAAACTTAGTGAGTAAGGTGGGTGGGTGTGTTGTTGTGGGCGAAAAACCTGTGCGTAATCACCACAATGTGATCGGGCACACAGCGTAGTTGGACCACCTTTGCGCCACAGCTCAGGACATTGCAGTCAAACTCTGACTTGACAGTCCGACCGGCAGCATTCATGTGCACAACCACATCAGTGTTGGAAAAAAATACATCAAGCATGCTTGTGGTGACCTGATGAGCCTTGTCCAGCTTTGGGAAACTGTGGCTCTACCACTGCGAAAACTGCTGTGTCTTCTCTTGGTGGTAGCTGCACACCCACCTCACGCCGTGAGTGATGGAGGTTGGATCATCCGGTCACTGACTGACACAGAATGTGATGTTTGCTCTCTGCTATAGTTTGAGGTCCACATAGAAAACGCAAACCACCCAGTGCTCACAAAATCATGCATAACACAGGCCTGGATGTCGATAGCACAGTGCAGCACAGTCTCTTGACTTGTGACTGATCACACGTTGCATGACTTTGAAGTATTTTATAGAGCGATTTATCAAGAAATAATTAGTGGATTAACTGATAATAGAAGCAATTGTTTTTTGCAGGTCTTGTATCATCAACTAACGTCAAACTAAAAGCTGATGTATCTACTGCCCTAAACAAATGAGAAGATAGTTGACATAATTGGTTTGTAGGTACAGAATTTATAGCTTTTGGACTATTTACTCTCCTCACACTCGATGATTACAATATTGTGGTGTTAGCCACCGACTTTTCATTTAGTGCCATCCTTGGCTACAAATCCTACACGATAATGACCAAGACTGGAGACATTCCCCTTCGCCTCACCTCTGCTTTGTGTTTAATGATAATGTTAGGATGCTGACATGCTAAGCTAACATGCTAAGATCGGCAAACATTATATCTACATAATGTCACAATGTTAGTATTGTCATTGTGAGCAAGTTGGCATGCTTATGTTAGCACTGAACTCAAAGCAACACCTGTTCTATTTGTCAGCTCACAATACTGCTAGCATAACCCTAACCCTAAACCCTAACTCTAACCCTCTTGTTGATTATTTTTCATTTTCAATTCAAGCTGAACGTAAACTACATTTGAACCAGTGTTGAGCCTCTGATTTTGAAGACTCATGATAGTGTACTGGACCTTTCCTCTCTGATGGATGAATATGGAAAACCACTTTAGTTCAGGTTTTATTGCACAATTATAAGCATTTGGCTTTTATTTAATAAACATAATAAATACCTCTGAATAGGTTTTGGGAAGAGAAAATAGCCAGAGGAAATGGGATTATAATTAGGAAATGTGAAAAAAGCAACAAAACACTTAAGCATCAACAAAAGCTTGCCTCTCTTTGCCCAACGCTGACATGATATAGCTGCAGTGCACTGAGTTGCTGCAGAAGTTCAGACGAGATTTCACAGAGTGTGGTTCTGATAAAAAGTGGAACTGCAGCGTCCCACTGTGACATGATAAGCTCCTTAAGTTAGAAAACTGTTGAGGGAAATGTCAACAGGAGACTTTTCATTTGACTTTCAGGGTTCAAGTGGAGTTCAGTTTAAAACCTTTATCAGTGCCGGGTCTCAGGACTGAGCAACAAGCTCCGCATCAGCTGCTGCACTTTGACCGCTCTGAAGCACACACTAGTGGATTCAGTTGTTTCATCCTATGTGTTGAAGCCAAAGTTGTTTTTGCAATTCTGTCCAGGTTGCAAAAGTTTTAAGTTTCAGTCAAACTTAGTAGAATATTCCAGTGAATGTCACTCAACATAAACTTCATACTGTGTAGCTTTAATGAACTTTTGGAAGAAGCAAACACAGATATCGTCATGGAGTTTGGATTTTCTTTTCTTTTTCAAAATATAAATAATCTTAAGGCTAAATTTTGGGAGCAACTAAGTGCGGTAGACAAAATTCACAAGTTGTGAAGAAGAAAAATAAGTTGCACAAACTTTTTTAGGGTAGCTTTTAGGGTTGACACTAGTGGTGATTTTCATCTTCAGTTCATCTGTTTTCATGAATCAATAATTATTCTGTAAATTGCCAGAAAAAGAGTGAACATTTTTCATTACAGTATATCAAGATATAAGGTGATGTCATCAAATGTCATATCTATTCTATTTACGTGTGGGCTGAGAAGCTGCTTGTAGTGCTTGGAAGGGTAGCATTAGGTGGACATGGTTGTTAGTACAAGAGATCAATAAACAAGATGTTATATAGCTTCAAGATAGATCGCAGATACAACCGGCTGAAATGGGTTTCCTCTGTAGGAAAGATAGGATGAGGAGCTCAGACATCCGAAGGGAGCTTGGAGAAGGGTTGCTGCCGCCAGCTGAGATGGTTCAGGCATCTGATTAGAATGCCTCCCGGGCGTCTTCCTTTAGAGATTTTCCGGGCACATCCAACTGGGAGGAGACCCGGGGATAGACCCAGAACTCACTGGAGGAATTACATATCTCATCTGGGCAGGGAACGCCTTCACATCCCCAAGGAGGAACCGGAAAATGTTGCTGGGGAGAGGGACGTCTGGATTGCCCTGCTTAGCCTGCTGCCACTGCAACCCAACCCTAGATAATTGGAGGCTTTACATGCAGTTAAATTGTCTCCAAAATTTGCTTTTGTGTAATCTTAGCCAGATACAGGATATATGTTAAGAAGGTACTTTTAGACAGCAGGATTTGAACAATAATGCATTTGTAGGTCCAATTATGAGTAATTAAGGAGCTCAGACATACATACATTTGCAATCTAAAAATAAAAAATAAAAATGTTGGTGTACTACGAACCACGACTGTCAGCTATTTCAGTGGGTCCATTTCATACCAACTGTCCCACCAGTACGAGTGTAGTCAATGTCAACTTTGGTGCCTTGCAATGCCTTGAAATTCAATTTCCTCGACTAACTGTTTTCATCAGATTTTGTCATTGAAGCCACAACGTTCAGCTCAAGTGGGAATTCTTTTCAATTTCATTTGTTCTGCGACACTGGAAGATGTTTGACCTCGCGAAACCTCCCTCAACCATGTGACCCTCCCTCCCAAATCTCCCCCCCAGCTGTGTATCTCTGCGTGAAATGGTTTGTCCCGTTTTTAGCCCCAGACCACAGGATCGAACCACCGCTGTTTGCCGAAGAGGGGGGATTTTCCAAGGAGGTAGAAAGCTGGCTGCTCGAGCGAAACCGCAAACCTCGGAGGGGAGACGGACATAGACAGTGAGAGAGAGAGACAGAGGGGAGGGGAGGGGAGAGAGGACAACAAAGAGAGAGACCTAGAAACAAAAATAGAGAGAGAGAGAGGGACAGCGAGAATAAAGGGAGTATTATTTACGAGCAGCGAGTCCTCTCAGCAGAGACTAAACTTAAACATGACCGGGAGACTGGAATTCCACTGAGGCACACTGGGCAAAAGTGCAGAGTCAGGACGTTTGTGTGTGTGTTTGTGTGTGTGTGTGTGTGTGTGTACAGTATAATGATGGGAGGGAAACCTAGAATTTAAGACCCCAGGAGAGAGAGCTATTCTGTCCTGATCTTGTTACTCTTGTTAGACTGCACATACTTGGCATAGTCGGTCTGACCTTCTGACTTCAGATCCTCCAAGTTGAAAACTGATTAGCCAAAGTCGGGTTGTGACACAGTGGCATTCTCCTTTAGTGTACAGTAAAACAAACGCACTGCTTTGACAAACAAGACACTCAAAAGTTCGATTTTACTGCGAAATCCTCTCTGGACATTTGAAAATTGGCAAACAGTAACTGAATGTCTCTAAATCCGTTGCCAGTGGTGCCAAGACTTGACTGCTTAGTGTTGAAAAGCAAGTGTAGGTGTTCCAAGTTCTTTAAAACAGGGATCCCTAACACACCTGTCCGACAACAGGGGAGCAGCAGCTGATTTTAGGTTTCTAACCTTTAAACAAGCTAAATTCACTTGTTAAGTCTTTATGGACTTTGGATGTTTTTGTTTATACTCAATAGCAGATTTGATCAGAATATGTCAGAGTACCTAGAAAAGGTAAGGGAAAATGTTGGATAGAAGAAATGCACTGCAACCTGAATAGCTGCTAACTTTCTGTCCATGCATCAGGGCATGTAATTTGTGGACAAACTGAGCTGTTTTGTTTTTTGTTTTTTTTTTAAACATTGAATCAATGGCTTCCTTCCAGTTTTTCCTTTGTGTTCCTGTCAACTAGTCTTCTGCTGTTTCTAAATGTGAATTGGTAGAAAAATCAGACCTCAGCCCAAAGAACCGCCTGTATTGTGACTCTAGGAATGTTTTCCTTAGACTGCAAGTTGCACACCACCGTGACCTAGTGAACCTCGAAGGAAAAAGAAGCTGTCATTCCATAAGATTTTGGTGCACCTCCAGATAGAAATTCCCCAAAACGTGTAATTTCACATTTAAAAGCGATCGAATATAATCAAATATATTATAAGCTTGTGCGAACTGACAATCTGCAGGTTAAGTGTATTTTTTATTTTCCGTTGGAGCCACTGTGGCAGTTCACAGTCAATAGGACACCCACTTAAACCGTGAAATACCAAAAACCATGCTTCCTTTTGGTGCCTAGTTTGGATCTGCCACTAAATGACTTTGTTTGAAACCAAAACCAAACCCTCTTTGTTTTGGATTTTCCCTCTGACTCCGTTCATTTTTGTCATTTGTGACACTGCACTGTTTCTCTGCATCTGGTTTCTGACTTTGCTTGATTGGGAATCAATTCTGTTTTATTGTTTGTCCTATAAGTTAGCTAGATCTCAAAATAACTGAGCTAACTGCATTTTTGTACAAGTGCGCCGTGCTGCCAGACGGGTGATTTTCTCCAATTTATTTCACTATTATCCCAAATATATATGGAAAATTTGCCTTCTTATGTTGCATTGTAGTCACCAGCTCACTATTCCAACACAGTCCAGCTACACTTTTACCATTGTGGTTTTCCAGAAGCCTGCCCAATGCAGTTACACAGAACAGGCTGCTTTTTTTAGAGCTTTCTTTGACTTCTTTTGTGGAAACAGGGATTTTGTGTATTTGCTGCACTGTCATGTCTTATTTGCTGCCGTGCAAGCCATTGATTAAAGCGTGTTGAGCTGCATGAGGATCATGAGCCGTGCAATAAGTAACACCAATGTAGTCCACTGATGACTGAAGAGAAGATTGCCAATCAGTGATGGCCCTGCTTCGAGACAAACCGCTATTTATTAGGTGGTGGAGGGAAATGTATTTATGAAATGTTTAAGAACTTGTGGCCTGCTGTGGAAACCCAGCACCAGATGATTTCTCTGGTGTTTAAGCTCCTGTAAAACCACAGGATCAGCTAATTAGGCTGAAGAAAAAGACCAAAGTGATTCTAAAGAGATGATTTGGTTTCTTTGAAGTGGCGTTCTAAGAGGTTCTTACCTGCAGTGCTACCAGTTTAGAGAAGCAGAGAAGAGTACTGGCAGGGAACCTGTTTTAGCCAACTGAAAAAGGCCCAATGAAAACATCAATATTAGTTTCTGTTTGCGCTATATTTCTAATATTTTCACTGCCTTATCTTGCTCCATCTATGTTCTATTCAAAGCGAAAGCCATCAAAGCCACCAGAATCAGATGACAACAAGAGTCATCTCGCAGAACAATATTCTGTTTATATTATTGTATGAGTTTTCTGTTCTACCATGTTAGTTTGACTTCAAATTAAAAACCAATGTCACAAAGCGGTGAACCAACAACTCCTGGTTTTGCAAACTAAAATGACCGCTTTTGTCAATGGAGTCTGGTGGCTTTGAAGATAGTGAAAAAACAGCTTTACTGTAGTTCTAGGCTGTCTGACAGCAAGGTAAAGCAGTAATGTATGAATACACCTTATGCTTTAAGTGTTTTTATTTTGTTCCACTTTTGTCTCAGTTGACCAGAATATGTTTTGCTACTGACCCCATCTACAGCAGTTCGTCCTGGTTGTTCCATCATCCACCACCATACAGTCAGTGTGGACAAGTACCTCGTACAACCCCGCTTCAAAAAAAACAACCATTTAATCTATGTGAGCCTCCCCACATATTGATTTGTCAACGAGTGTTTGCTGTCCATGACACAGTGTCGGTACTTTATGTTCAAACTGAACCAGTCCAGAGCTGGTGTTTACGCTGGTTACGCATCCTGTTTCTCCCACTTTGAGAAGCTGATGTCATACTTTTATTAAATTAAAACTTGCATCAGTTCCATTTAACTGAGAGTGGGCTGTCATGTGAAAGTCTGCTGTGCTCGGTTGAGGTTTGACTTTGACGCATCTTGCGAATTTCTACGCTTCTATTTACAGCCAGTGATGCTCGGCGAAGTTAGATACTGAGAAACCACAAATTAGCCCCTCAACAGAACATGACGGGTCCTGGCAATCAAAGACGATATCAGTAACCGTAACGTCGAGATGCAAGTTGTGTTGTTCGCTGTTTGAGCTCCCTAAGTCTAGTCTGCCTTATTCCTGTACCTGCATGTAGACCTGCTGTAGCCCAGAGTGCCAAAACTAAGCAGCATCATTTCTGACCATCAATCTGGGAATAATCGGCAGATGGAAGAACAGTTTCTGTATTTCTCACTGTAACATAACGAGGATGACAAACATGACTGCAGGGGGCTAAAGCGCTCAGCGGTGTGTCTTTGCTCAGGTTTGACACACACACACACATCTACAGCTGTGCTCCTGAGAGTGCAAATGAGGTAAGAGGTTGAACTCTGCCGAGACAGTTACGCCTCTTGGTGTGTGTTTGTATGTGAGTGCCCCCTAGTGCACGCAGAGAGCAGTGCACGTGCAGGGAGGTTCGGCTGGAAGGCTCGCACGGACGGTGTGATGAAATGATTGAATCGCTGATGTTTGGTCAATTTTTGTAAAACAGGCAGATGGTGAAAGCGTGCAGGGAGCAGGTAGGCAGTGTTTGCACTTGTGAGATTTCATAAGTGTGTGTGTGTGTGTGTGTGTGTTTAAACAGCTGTCAGGTGGTGAGTCACAGCAGCACCATTAAAGACTATTCTCATGTGTGTGTTTGTAAGAAATAGCTTCACAGAAAATAGCAGCATATGTCGTGACCTCTATTAAATGAGCTTGTATGTGTTTAGATGGATTACGCAGGTGTCTGAACACACACACACACGCACACACTCTCTGTTTACATAGGTGAATTAATTTTTGAAAAGAGAACAAACCAGTAATCAGCGGGGTTAAACGTGAAAAGCGTACAGGGATCTTTTGAGTCCCATTTATTCATTTTCCTGTCATAAGAACTAGACAAGGAAATCCAACAGGGACTCTATCTTTTACAGCTGCAACAAAATAAATAAATCCAGATTAATTGTTTTTTGTTTTTTTGTTTTTTTTTAAAGAAGTAATGTCTAAAATCTCATGTGATTGCCGTCTTTTGTTGGTAAAAGGCATGTTTGGGTTATGGATTACTAATTGGACGGCCCACTACAAGATAATGCAAGCTGTGTTTTACCTTGTTTTTGATATTTTATAAATCAAAAATGGATTAATTATGAAAATAATAAAGACGTAATGTGCAGGACTATCCAAGCTGCAGCCATCATGACTCAAAGTCAGTAGTGAGGTGCATTGCGGCGCAGTTTCACAAATGTCCACTAGATGGTGTTCTAAAAAATCTGAGCTCTAATGTCTGTCTTTAAAGTACTTTTTACGTAAGTTATTAAAGTCTCAGTAGCTGGTGTCATTACTTTCAAAGTGTGTATAGAGATACTTAAAAAGAGCTCTGTCATGTCAGCTGCACTTCTGTTGGCCCATTTTAACTGCGAAGGTGGAAGCTAATCCAGGTTTCAAAGCGTTCCGCAGAAACCTATGGGCAATTGGGATGGGACTGCTGTCAGATTTTAAGCTGTTTTTTTTTTTTAATATTCTTATTTATCCTTACATCCCTCTCTTTTCCTCTACCTGTGTCTTCCTCACTATCTCAGCACACCACCGTTCTGCCCTTCATCATCATCGAGATGCGGACAACCCACCATCGGTACCCTAGCAGGTCGTGGGGTCTGGCAGCAGTGTGCTGCTTCGGCATTGGATACATCCTCTGGTAACAAATGTCTTCATTTTCCAGCATGCAAAAAAAAACGCCACTTACTCTACACATCGTAGAGTCGTCCTAGTATTTACCTACTACATGTTACACTGAGTAATATAGGATAGATAAGGTATAGTTTTTTAAATAAACACACTTAGTTATGGTTAGTTTGTGTTCAGATTATTTTATTTGTACTCATTATAGAAACCTTTATAATGCCAGTGTCATTCAGTTTGGTGAATTCAGAATTATCTCCAGAAATCTATGGCAAAATTACATAATGCCAAAGATGGCCGTTGCACACACTGACACATGCCCCGCCTCTGTTCCCTGAAAAAAAACAACAACAACAATCGTCTGCTCTACAACAGTCAAGCTGGGAAAAACACAGCCAATTGTGTTGTTGAACTGACTCAAGCAAAGAGGCGGGATGGCTGTCGATGGCTGTCGAGTAGCAACACTTGATTATAAGGGCTTTGTATCCGTTTTGCTTCCAGCTCAGGAGTAGCTGAGTAGAGTTACACAAGTTTTAACTGAGTCTGGTTTGACTAGTGAACAGAAATTTAATCAGTAACCAATGTGATAACTGATTAATCTTCTAAGAAAGGAAAACTGGTAAAAAAAAATTTAAGGATTCCTGCATCTCAAACGTAAATATTTTCTGGTTTTCTTGGTCTTTCATGATATTAAACTGAATATTTTTAGGATTTAGACTGTTAGTGGAACACAACAAGAGGCTTTAATATGTATACTAGTAAGAAAAGTACATCAGTAGATCGAACATTATAATATTCAGTAGTTTCAGCCCTGTTGAATGTATTTGTGTGTGGTATGGATTAGGTTTATTAACTCTAATGACCAGTTCATCTTTGCAAGACTAGTTCAGGTTTAATGTCGTTGAAATGTGGTCCAAGTTACACTTATTAGGTTAATGTGATTAGATTAGATACATTTTATTATGAAGGCTCTTTAAAATTGATTGATCCTAACCACTAGGCGTTGTCCAGATAAAAAAAAAAAAAAAAGCAGGTCTAAAATGAGCTCTGACTGCAGATAACTGTACCTCTCTGTGCCTGCCCAGGACGTGTTGGGTGCACCAGGTGACAGGTGTGTGGGTGTACCCGGTGCTGGAGCGCATCGCACCGCTGGCTCGAGTCGTCTTCTTCAGTGTGATGACGGTGATAATCTGCATCTTCTACGTCCTCGGAGAAATCCTCAACAGCTACATCTGGGACCAGCCACACACAGGTACGCAACACACACCGCAAAAGAAAAAAAACTCCCTCTACATGATGAGACAAGATGGTTCTCCCACTGCGTATCTTACTAACCAACCAGAAATAGCATACAACAACCCACCTGTCTTTGTCGTTAAAGTGTTGAAGTTTTATAATTTCTTGAAACAACAAGAATTAAACTGTACAGATTTTTGTTTGCCAGACTATTATTCTCCACTTTACAACATGTTTCAAAGACACACACTCATACACTTTAACAGGATGATTCAAAACCTCTAAGAATGTTCATCAATGACAAAATTTTAAAGATCTGAAAACACACAGGGACAGATTCACATGAGCAAAAAAAAAATGTTGTTATTGTGATAGAGTGAATGAGAAGCTTGAAACTAGCAACCAAGACCACAGACTCATTAGGAAAACTTATACTACGTGATAAATTAAATGAAAAGAAGGGTCATTTTCTCCCAGACCTCCTTGCAGTGTGACTACTTTTTGCCACCAGAGGAGTCGCCCCCTGTTGGTTGTGAGACAGAATGCAGGTTAAAGGCATTTTTACATCAGCTTCACTTGTAAAACTGAGAGGCTGCATTTGTCTTTTAAATACAGTTAATGGTGTGGTTTTGAGAAACTGAAGGACAGTAGTGCAGCTTTAAGTTTGTACAGCCCCCATGTTAACATGCACAAGCAGAGCAAACAGTTTTGGTGCCTCTAGTGTTAAATTCAACCCTGATTGATAAATAAACATGCCCTGTTAAAGCATGTCCACTATAACGCTCAAGCATTCTGCAGGGGCAAAAAAGAAAGCAACAGCTGATTTAAAACCATGTGCACAAAATCAGAAAGTGCGCTGACAAATCTGCTGCTTGCAGACTGAAGAAAGTCTCTTTTAAGTTTTTTTTTTTTTTTCTTTCAAAAGTTCTGCCGTTGGAACACTTTTCTTAGATTTGTTGGTCAGTCTGGAAAGTGATAAAACGCAGACAGAGACAGAAGCAGATGTAGCATCTGCCGAGCAGCCGCCTCCCTCTTTCCCACGCCCACATTCACTCACACACTCGCTCTCCCCCATCCATCTGCTCAACAGGTCAGCAGGTAGCGCTCCACCCACACCGCAGGGACTCCGTCTGTATGTGTTCGACTCTCTAGACGAGAAGTCTGCAGCCCTGCTCTCGAGCTAAACCACCCAACGCACATCGCAAAGTTTACTCGCAGTCTAATTTCTCTAAATGTCGCTCTCTCTGTCCTGTCGTCTCTTTTCTCAGAAAAGGTCAAAGGTGAATGATCGTCTCTCAACTGTGTGGGCATCGAAATCGGCTTTCGAAGGACCAGCTGTGCCCCGCCCACCCAGGACAGCACAAGATCGAGACCAAGCGACCTCTGCTGAAGTGGAAGAGACCTTCTGAACTATATTCATAACAGTAATAAAAAGTGAAAGACAACCACATCATCAGTTATATGTAAATACAGGAGGCGGTGATACTTGAAGGCGAGTCAAAAATCATCTTCTTTTTTTTTTGGTTTTTGTTTTGTCTTCTGTTTTTGTTTTCAGTGGCGAGAAATAAGCAGCAATCTGACAGCAGATGGAGCGCAGTGGACAAACTCTGTACTGTACATACATCTACACCAAACATAGGACATCAACACTGACAGGCTGCACCCCCACAAACATGTAACACACCTGAACAATATTTGCAATTTGTTTTTCTGGTATAAGCTACTGATAAAAGTGAATGAATACCTTCAAAAGCCTCTGTACACCTACTGAACATCATCATTATTCATCTCATGAGTCGCACGACATGTGTGGAAGAAAGTAGAGGTTGTGAACAAAAAAAACAATCAATAAAGTTGAAGTAGGAAATATTTCCTGTCAGTTAGTCCGGTGTGAATTTTGAGTGGCTCTACAGAAACCAACAGACGTGAAGCTGGTCCACCTCGACTGAATGTCTGGTGAGAGGAACAGCTGACTGCATCTTTTACTGTATTTACACTGAAGGCTTGGACTATGAAGCAGGATTTGTCTTGACTTGTTAGATGGGGGTTCACACCTCCCTAACTTTAGCTGCACACCTCACCTGCTCCAGAGCCGTGGTGCTGGCTACTTGTCAGCAAACGAGGGAGGCACCTTTTTTATCCATTGACAGGCTGCAGGGGAGAAGGTCCAGACTTCAATGGCACCTTTAACCCTAGTTAATTTCTACGGTGTGTTTCACATTCACACACACCAGCGATCTGCACAGTGCTCACCTGCCGTTGGGGTTCAGTGCCCCGCCAACCTGGTGATTAGTGGACGACCTGTAGCTTTCGTGGTACCTGCTTTAGTCAGCAGGAGGAGGTGATTAAGTAACCTCGCAGCACTGATGTTTGTTCCTCCCAACGTGGTCATGATGTACACATCACATTTTCACCCAACTGAGGTTCGATCTCCAGTTTGACCAGCTGTGGTGCCACTGAGCCGATCAGATCGCAGTCTGGTCCCAGTGCCTTCTGCACATCATCATGTAGAACAGTTGGCAAATTAGAAACTACTGCAGCCTGTGAGACTGTTCCCATCAGAAGCACGCAATGAGTAATCTAGGATTTGTCCTTTTTTTTTGTTTTTTAAAGCAATGTCAAATTTTAGCTGTCCTTAAGGACGATAAAACGATGACTCGCCGATCAGCTTGTGTCACAAATGGCGTGACATCAGCGACTCTGCTCTGAATCTAAATTTTTATGATCTGACCGGAAACGTTGATGATGATGAAGTGTGTGAGCTCAACACTCAGAATGCAGTTTGCTGCGATGGGGAGTTCCCCAAACATTAACCTCGTAGTTTAACCTCTGGCAGACATTAAACACAGCCAGACAGGCAGGCGGACACGTGGGCTATAAACATATTTTGTGTCACTGACTGAACTAAATGCTTTCCACAGTTACTGGTGACTAAGGCTCCTCTCACAGAGCCTGTATGTGTGTTCCAGTGACATGTTGGAAAGCCCTCGGTTCAAAGTCACAGTGAGACTCTGCTGAGAGCGTCGCTTAGTCAGTTTTATTGCAGACTTGCTTCACACAGTGGCCGGGTCAGAGTGGTGAACCAGGAGAGGAGCTCTTTTACAATTCAGCCAATCTGCCCGACTGATTTTCCAGCTCTTTGTCACCATGGAAACCCAAAATTCAAACAACAATTAGCACATGATATGAATAACACTCCCACATTTACCACCTTCTCTAATGACACACTATTAGCTGGAAAAAAAGGCCTTCTCTGTCTGAATAAGACAGAGCAGGATAAATAGAGATCTGCTGTCCAGATGTGCAGACTTAGATGTTAAAGGCAAATACATCAAGAATGAAAGGAGGAACCGATGCCGTCGATCTTATAGTGAAAGAGGAACCGATTGAAGGAAAAGACAAAAATAAAACACATTATTTGTGGGAAGAAATTAATGAGAGGAAAACAGCAACCAAAAAGCAAAAGAAACAGTTGATTTCTCAAGGTGGGAGGGACGCGACGGAGGAAAAGAGACATCTGAGGAGCGTGAAAGAAAAAGCAGAGGAGCATAAAATAAAAATACGTGGACTGATTAACACTTAATTGACTCTAAAGGATGTGAAAAGTCAAACCAACAGAACAAAGAAAGAAGCTGAAGCGCTTCTGCGTTTCAGTTAGTTTCTTTTTCTCTCGACTGTAAAGGTTAAAAGAGTGAAACCACAAAACACATCAAGGCAACTGGTTCCTGTCAACACAAACCAAGCCTCTCACCCCCCCTCCTCCCGTCCTCCTCCTCGATCAGAAACAAACGCACCTCTCCCCCTCCTGTGGGGTCATCTGGCAGCGAAATAATAAAATAGAATCTTTATTTTCTGCAGCAGTGTTGCTCCCTCACCTCTACACAACGTGCCATCTCACATTACACAGCTTTTTTTTTTTTT